AAGATAGGTTAAATGCGTTAGCTGTACGATCAATACATAAAAATTATATACAGGATATTAATCAGTTTAATCAAAAAATAATTGAAATGTTTTCTCTTATGAAACAGAGAAGAGCAGAATATTTGTATAAATAATATGCTTAAATCTTTGTTTTTAACATCATTCTTTATTTCAAGATATATTATACCTTTATAAGAATTATAGCGTTAATCGTAATTTTTATATTTACGACTTACTTCTATTCAACTAAAAGTTTTTACCATAAAATTAAAAATATAAAAATTCTGAAGAAGTAATATTAAAATCTGTTCAAATCGTAATGCAGCACAATCACGGCAGTTTTTAGTCAGTTTTTGCTGCTTAATATATAGGTTTAAAAGATTCAATGCCATTAAATACTTAAGGTTTAAACAATTTAGCTTTATTTTGAGAGTATGCTAGCGTTTAACTCTTTCAACCAATCCAAAAATGCTAGAGACCAAAGACTTCCTAACAAAGACCAAAGTATTAAATACGGTTAATATTTGCTGGTCCCATCAAAGTTTATTGTCACCGGCTGCCACTGTGTATATATATATATATATATATATATATATATATATATATATATATATATATATATATATATATATATATATACATGTTATTTTAAAATTATAAATTATCATTATCTTAATAAACACAAGTTTATCAGGAAAAAATTTAGAAGTGTTAACATAAGTTTTCAAATCTGACAGGTACAAAATCTTGTAAATCTTGTGAAAAATGTTTAAATTTTATTTTTCCATTTTTTCTATGTTATTTTTTCTTATTAAGTTTTCTAAGGATTTGGCAAATTTTAATGTTTTTTATAAATACTGCACAATACCGGTTTATACCGGTAATTAAAGAGAACTCAATCTCATTTTTAGGCAGCACAGCATTCTGCAACCAATGAGCTAAGCAGTTGTCTTAATCCCATTAATTAATCCAAAGTCATAACGTAGGGCTCCTTATGTGGCCTGGACAATGCACACCAAAAACATTAGGAGGGACACCATCCATGCGCAACATGACACTGTTGATACTTTGATATTTTTTACCTGTTGATGAAATCAAATTATAAGAGCTACGACAGAGTTTAGAAAACCTTACTACCAGCCAGCCTCAGAAATGTAAAGTTAATACACATAAGTAAACATAATAATGATTATCACTATCTTAATAAACACAAGTTTATCAGGAAAAAATTTAGAAGTGTTAACATAAGTTTTCACATCTGACAGGTACAAAATCTTGTAAATCTTGTGAAAAATGTTTAAATTTTATTTTTCCATTTTTTCTATGTTATTTTTTCTTATTAAGTTTTCTAAGGATTTGGCAAATTTTAATGTTTTTTATAAATACTGCACAATACCGGTTTATACCAGTATTGAACTATTTTGAATACCGAAAACCGGTATTTTAATTTTCCGGTATTTTGGAAATTCTACTAATTTCCAACATCTTAAAACAAAACTATTTCTATTCAAGTTTTTACATTAATGCATTTAAGTGTGATGATTGTAATTATTGTTATTTGTAATTACCTAACTTTGATAAATGTTAAAAGTATGCAGTTGTGCCTTCTATGTGTCTATGCGGTTCTGCCTCAGAGGACAGTTTTTAGAAAGAAAACAGTTTCATAGCTTGTTTATTAGGTTATGCTGATATCAAAAATGGTTTTCACTTGATGAAATAATGCTGATAACACATATCTTTAATACTAAAATCAAATATTGCCTAATCCTAAAAATAAAGCCTGGAAAAATATGATGTAAATATAATATTTTTATCAAAAGAAACATTATGCACAACTTGTCAGAAATGTAACAGGCACTCTTTTTAACATAAGCGAAATGAAGAAAACTGTTTTACTAACGTGTGGAATGTTTTTTCCCATATTAGATAACATTTTTCATAGAAAAAAGTTAAAAAAAGGGTTGTGCCTTTATAAATATTAAGAAAACATCAAATATATCAAAAATATTTTTAAAAGCGAAAAGACTAAATGCGCTTCCCAGGAAAGCTTTATATATATATATATATATATATATATATATATATATATATATATATATATATATATATATATATATATATATATATATATATATTAAACTAATTACTTTCTGAAAAGGTAAATTTACATTGTTTTCTGAGTTTAAGAGCTGTCATCATCTTCCTAGAGTTTTAGAGCTGTACCCTCATTAGGAGATGACAGGAGGTTATCTGCAGAGAAAGTAAAGACATCGGATCAAGGACCATCATAAAGAAAATCATGAAAAGAATCCCAGTCAGCTTTAGGGTAGTAGTAAGTATTCCGATGATAGGGTGAAACTGAAGAAGAAGTACAAGATTTATTTTAGAAAAAACTGAACATAAGCTTGGGTCAGAGATAAGTCAAAAATCAAGTAGTGAAGGTAAATGAATAGGGTTGTCAGGAAAATGATTCACAAAGTTAACTATATGAGTAAGAAATTGAAAAGATGAAGCTTTAGTGCCAGTAGTGGTGTTAGAGCCTAGTCTTTCAGGGTGATGAGCATTAAAATCACCAATAACAACAATATTAGCAGAGGGGTAAAAAGAAAGGGCATGGTCAATTTAATCAGAAATCACATCTAAAAGAATGCAGTCTAGAGAAGCAGGAGAACCATAAAGAAGAAAGAGAAATTGATAGATTGAAGAGGTGCTAAGCAGAAACACATAAAAAAATGGTCAAAGGATTCAAATATGATTTCTCAACAAATAAGTGAATTGATGTTTAAGTATACAGCTAAGCCAAGCATGTGACATTTAGTTCCTTTGTGAATTTAAGGATAATACCCATCAATATTGAAATCAGAAAGAGCAAGCAAGTCTAGTGAGTTTTGCAAGGCAAGATTCAACTGACCAAAGGTTACTTCCTAGACCACGAATATTTGTGAAAGATATGTTGAAACAATTAGGTGGTAGGGATGGTTTTTTTTAGGTTATTTTTGTTTACTTTGTGCATAATTTAATTTTAAAGAGAACTCAATCTCATTTTTAGACAGCACAGCATTCTGCAACCAATGAGCTAAGCAGTTGTCTTAATCCCATTAATTAATCCAAAGTCATAACGTAGGGCTCCTTATGAGGCCTGGACAATGCACACCAAAAACATTAGGAGGGACACCATCCATGCGCAACATGACACTGTTGATACTTTGATATTTTTTACCTGTTGATGAAATCAAATTTTAAGAGCTACCACAGAGTTTAGAAAACCTTACTACCAGTCAGCCTTAGAACCATTAAACTGAGTTTTAAAGCTGTACCCTAATTTGGAAATAACAGGAAGAGTATCAAGAAGGCACAAGCAAAAATCTAAGAGTAGAGCCAAGAAGATTCAGCATTCATCATCTTAGGCAGGAAACAATGTAACACAGGTTTAAATTTATGCCAGCCAAATAAATGAAAAAGGGGTGCAAAGCTGGTCAAAAAAATAATTTTGCTTAACCCTTAAGTCTTTGCCTAGGAGGCCTTCTACAAAGCTAGATGCAATTAATATTTGCCCAATATGAGTATTTTTTTATTGAAACATTATCTCTAGCCTTTACTAACCTTTACGAAGGATAGGGTTAAAGAGAAGAAAAATGGTTAAGTAAAGACTTAAAAAGTTGCAGATTGTATGAGTCAAGAAAATATGAAGATGAATGAGAGTTTTGTTGATGTTCAAGGAAATAAACTAGATTAACAAAATTTTTTATGAAGGTGCAGAAACAGTAAAAAGATGCAACTTTGTTGAAAGACAAGCCAAGAGATAATGAGTTTGGTGGATTAAACTAGAGATGATAGCTCGTTTGAGTAGTGACCATGATAGTATTAGATGAGAAAAAGATGCAATCTTACAACGATGGGAGAGTGGCTCAAATCAGATAAAGCAGATTTAACAACCTTTATAATGTGCTTTTGAACCTTGTCTGAGGGTTATTATTGGTCAATATAGGAATGTCAACCAAGTTTCAATAGTTGTTAGCAGTAAATAAGTAAGACTTGTAGGAGTTGTAGCAAGGATTGAAGAGAATTCTGGAAAACACTTTTGTAAGACTATGATGTAAATGTTGTCTAAACCGTAAAAAAATAAAATTGAGAATTGACTTTAGCATCAGAAGCCGAAGTGATTTTGGATGTCTAACAATAAATTAACCTGTTTAACTAGAATGGCAGGAAGAATATGACCATTAGTTTCAAGAGCCAAATTATAGGAAAAGTTCTTTGCAAATATTCATTTGCATAGAACTTTTCCTCTAATTCTGCATTTTCTGGTGAAAAGTAATAAAATCAAACCTGTGAATTAGAGATAGAATGCTAGACTAACTTTAGTTAATGATACTGTAAATGATTTTCCAAAAGTCTCTAGAAAATCTTTACGAGTGTGTTAAGATTTAGTAAACTAAGAATAACAGAGCTTAGCAATAATATGGATATAAACATAAATGCTTGCTATTTATATAGACACTGGCGTAAAATATCTTTACATATATGTATAAACTTAAGTATATATATGGTATAGCTGAAATAGAAGATGATAATCAGATGGATGTGTAGTATAGCTCTAACAAGACAATAAAAAAAGCCATAATCTTTGCCAGAGATTAGCCAGAGATTAGAAAGAATGTTATATCAAACAACATTTGTCAGGGAAATGGTTTGTTTATCAAATTATGAAATTTCGAACCCGGTCACTTAATAGTTGCATGGAAACAAGTTGAGGACAGTACTACCAGGGTATGAAAAGATTATAAAACAAAATCGATAAAAATTATTACAGCTTTTACACCACAAAAAAAACTGCACTTCTTTTTTTTTAAATCATCTTTAATTTTCTTTAATTTATTTATTCATTATTATTGAATAAAGATTTATCTATTAATTTTAAATTATATAAAACAAGTATTAAAAATAAACTCAAGTAAAAATATAAAACTTTTAACATAAAAGATGCAAAAAAATTATACTTGTCCAATTAATAGTCCCATTATTTCTTCTCTTTCGTTGGTCAAAGCATGAGCAATACATACATGCAAAACATCTGACTCAATTTTAACTTTTTTCAACATTTCTATATATATATATATATATATATATATATATATATATATATATATATATATATATATATATATATATATATATATATATATATATATATATATATATATATATGTGTGTGTGTGTATACATATGTGTGTATATATATATATATATATATATATATATATATATATATATATATATATATATATATATATATATATATATATATATTAGGGTGTCCCTTAAAACAACATTTTTGATAATCTGCTCTCACCCCCTAAATGTGTTTTATCTACTAGGTTAAATTTTTTTGAATAAAAAATATTGTAAGATCCAGCATTCATTATCTCGAATATTTAATGGGTCCCTAATATTTTCAAAAAAAAAGTTTTTCAAAAAAATGTCAATCTGGTACTCAAATGAAACAAAATTATATAAAAATTTCAAAAATAATATTTATTTCAAAAATACTTTAACTTATTTATCAAAATTATCATAAAAAAATATAAAAAATACATTTTTTTCCTTTTTTTGTTAAAAAACGCAATTTTTTATGTAATAAAATCATAAATAAAAAGATTACTTCTTTCTAGTTTTTGGTATCCAGGTACTTTGAAAATATAAAAAAGCTTATAGGCTACAAACTGGGAAAAAAATAAGAGTTAGAGTCTTTTAATCTGGAGTCCTTAGGTATAATGGTGGCATAAAATCTGGGATTCCAGGACTTCTGGCTTAAAAACAATAAGTTCCAAGTCATTAAATATCATAAATTTTTTTCTGATAGCTAATCACTAATCAACCAACACTTTTAAAGCTTCTGTACACACGAGACCATGAAAAAATAAAGTTATCAAGCCGGAGTCCTTTTGGAACTCCGCATCCCTGCTACCAATGTTAAAATATTTTATAGAGGTTAAAAAATAGGATCATTAATAATATATTTATTTTATTGATATATTGATATAATAAAAATTATTGTATTGTAAACATTTAAAATGTATAAAACATTAAAAAATCAGACAAAGTATGACTACACCATTCTCTGCAATTTATATACATCAGAACTATTTATACTATTTAGCTCATTTTGAAACACATTATACAATAAAAGATCAAGTGATAATTTTATTGTAAAAGTACATTATACATGTAAACATAATAATCAAACAATTATGTATGCAAAACAAACAAATAAACAAAAATTAAAGTAAAGTAAATCACTTTTTTATAATCTACATATTTTTTATTTAATTTACAAAATTACAACTCTTATATTTATTTAAAAAATCAAAAATAAAAACTTTTTTTTTTTTTAATTTAAATTGATTAAACCTTTATTTTTATTAGAGACAAGAAACATAAAAATTTATGAAAAAATGTTTTACATTTATTTCAAAGATAAAAATATTTCAAAAATTTCAAAATAATATAATAAAACTGTGAGTTAATATATTTGTCCTCGAAGCCAGATATAATATAAAATCATAATTTTACATTCAATAAAAATATACTCTGTTCATAAATGCTTTTTTTTAAAAAACTGTTCAAAAACATTTAAATTATCAAAATTCAGTAACCTGTTAAACAAACTTTTACACCTAATTTTTCTTTTCAAAATCATTTTTTACTAGTGATTATATCACCCATAAAAATTTAGAATTTTTAACAAATGACAAATTATATAACTTTCATTATTCAAATTATATAACAAGACAAATTATTTAACTTTCTATGATCATTAAAACTTAAAAAAAAAATTATTTCTTAACCGGAATTAAATGACTATATAACTCAGGATGCTCTCTTTGGTCTTGATTAAAAGTGTTAGAAATTGCTTTATGAACCTTTTCCATTAAACTATCTACATCATTAGAAGTAAGACCAACTGTTGTTATTGGTGGTAAGCAGTACACTCGTATAGATCCACCGTCAAACAATTTATTTTTGGTATCAATAACATTTCTATAGTTAGAAATTGCCACTGGAACGATTGGTATTTCTCCTTGAATTGCTAGATGGAATGCACCTTTTTTAAAAGGCATGACTTCATCACGCTGGTGCCGAGTTCCTTCAGAAAAAATCCAGAGTGATGTCAACTTTTTTTTCATTTCTTGCCCAACCTTTCGCATAATATCTATAGCTACCTTACCTTGTTTTCTATTGATAAAAATTGTTCCACAAAGCCAACAGACCTGGCCAAAAATTGGAACATAAAACAGAATTTCCTTAGCAAGTGGAGCTGTTCCATTTGGTGAAGATTTAACCATTATAAGAGCATCAATTGCACTTTGATGATTCGAAACAACGACAAAAGGTTTTTTACAATTTTTAAGGTTTTCACCATTTTTAATTGTGATATTTACACCAAATAACCATTCAAAATTAAATATTTTTAATGCTTTCTGCACAATTACCAAGTTGTAAGAGCTTCGTGGATTTATAAAGCAAAAGAGACTTGTTACACAAGCTAGAAAAATGCAATACAATGAAAAAGTAATATACTTTACATGGTATTTTATTGTTGAAGATGCCCAAGTACCAGCATAAATTAAAACAGTTACTAGAAGAAAATACAACCAGCACATTTTAAGTAACTATTATTTCTAAATAAAAGTTAAAAATATTTAACACAACAATACAGTAAATAATTAAAACTATTAACTTATAAATTAATCTTCACATATATAACTACACAATCTACATAAATAAAATTACTAATAAATTAAACTGCAAAGAGATTTGATTTGAAACAACTAATATAAAAGTAATAGCTAATTAATTTGCTAAATATTGTTTGCATAAAATAAGAAAAAAAATTTACTCTTGTTTAAAATAAAAAAATGAAAAGAAAATTATTACATGTTTTATTACATTATTACACAATTATTATTACAGAATTAAAACATGGTAAAGAACCAAAGTGTTTTTAAAAATCATGATAAGCTATGCTAGAAATACAGTTGAGATTAAAATAATTTAAATACTAAATTTATTTTCTGATTATCATGAAAAGAAAAAAAGAAAAAAACACAACTGTTTGAAGTTGTTAAAAAAAATGACAAAAAACAATGTTTAAAGTTCTCAAACAGTTTTTTTCTAGTTAGGTCATAGTCTTTAATTACTTATTCATGTTTTAGGAATTAGTTTTAGACTATTCAAATAATTCCTATTAAATATTACAAACTTTTTTTTTGACCAAAAAATATCCAACACAAAAGAAAAGACTGTTTTATGAAAAATAATCAAAACATGAGTGAAAAATAATCAAAAACATGAAACAGATTTTAAAAAATAAATTTTTTAAAATCTGTTAGTCATTTTTGAATTATTATTTAAACCACTATAACCCTCATACTTTTTCCTTTTTATGTTTTTGTAGTTCCTGTCTAATGCAATCAAAGTTGCTTTTACTATATTCAAAAAGTATTATGAAATAATTTTCTTTTAATTAAATTCATTTGGATGTTCAAGGTTATCATAGAAAAGTCGTAGAAAAAACATTCTAATGACAAAAAAAAGGCTAAAGCTACAAAAAGCAAATAAGAGAGCAAAGCAGCTGTACAGTCTAAATTGTTTTAAAAAATAAAATTAAAAAAATAACAAATTAACTCTTAACAACACTGGTAGCAACCACTAATTAAGTTAGGAGTTAACAAAAAGAGTTAACAAAAGGAGTTACCGAAAAACAATAGAAACTTAAAAAGATGATTAATGAGTCATTTAAAAGTTTTAGTTGATGGAAAAGGTGAAGATAGTTCATTTGAGCAGTGACCATTATTATTTGTAGACAAAAGAAAGGGATGCAACCTTAGAACAAGGGGAAACAGACTCAAGCTTAGATGCAAGAGAAGGTCTAACAACATTTATTGTATTTTTTGACTTTGTCTAAAAAAGAGAGGATCTTATTAGAAGAACCAGATTAAATATGATAACAGTATTTCATACAATGGCAAATAAGAGAATTTGTAGAAAATGGAATCAGAAGTAAAAAAATGGCAAGCGTGATAGAGGTAACTTTAGATAAAAACTATTGCAAAGTTAACAGATGCTAACTTTCCAATAGATTGTATATAGATTGATGGAAATAATTATTTCCATCAGAGGTCAATACTTAAGTTTCTAGATTATTTTAAGTACTTTATATCTATGTATATATTGAAACATAAAAATTTTAATGAGCACCACCTAAAAGTTTGTTTTATTCAAAGATATATCACTGTAGAAAATCACAGTGGAAAACTTATGTTACTACTGTGACAAAACAAATAAATTTAATGAAGAAATGTCCGCAGATAACATTGTTAATTGTGTCTTGAACTGCAAAACTGCTAAAATTATTTGATTGTTTTTTTTCTACTTAAATATTAACGATTTATACTGGCATATTCCCAAATGAGCTCCTGGTTTATGAGGTAAATAAAAATCAGACTTCACTATGTCAATAGTGTTAGGACCATTGTACGATATTGTGTTTTTCATTATTCACTGCCTAAATATCATTTCTATAAACACTGTGTAACTAAATTCTGTTAATCTTCTCTTCTAAAGCTTTTTGCTGAAACTCTGAAAAGGTTTTGAAGAGAAAACTGTTATCAGTCAATAAAGCTTTGATATACCATATTATGCCAAAGTTTTAAGATCTTTTCACAAAATGACACTTTAGGTACCATTTAAAAATCTGAAATATATTGAAACCCTGAGAAAGTAATTCAGAAGGTTATTCATTTTATATTCAATTGTTTTAAACACCTTTTGAAAAAAAAATTCAATTTAAATTCAGTTTGTACATGTAGGGAGCAATTACAAGACTTGGAGTCTGCATTAAGGTGAGATATGTTAATAGTATAGTAAATATTAGTTAACGCTGTTATTTTTAGCAAGTTAATATTTTGTGGTTGTTAGATTTAGCTGCTGAATGCTGTTTTGGGATGAAACTTGATGCATAAACAATAAAATATATTTGTGGAACTCATACTCATTTTATTAAAATCATATCCCAGTGATGAATTTGCAAAAAAGATTTTAGTTTTCTAACAATTAGCTACTCTCAAGATCTTGAGAGTAACTAATTGTTACAACTAAAGCACACAAAAATAAACAAGACATTGTTTTGTTGTGTCTAAGAAAAATGCCTATTATGGTAAGATATTTGGAAATATGGTTGTTGAATACAATTCAAAAGAGATTGTAAACATTGGAAAAATGGTTCTCAAGTTTTATGCTCATACAATGTTTTTAACCTTACAATGTTTATAACCAAAAGATAATGAAAGATGTGACATTCACTTTTTTTCACTGGGATTTTATTTTAACCAAATGGAAAGAGTTGTTTGAAAAAATTTGAAGTATAAATAACTTCAACTGAAAACCTCAATAAGGATCAGTGTATCAGCTTTGTATCAGCTATAATACAAAGATGTCAACCTAGAAAAGAAGTTATAAAATTAAAAAAGTTACCAATAATAATATAATGCCCAGCAAACACAAAATGTTTGAAGAACATTGTGAATGTTCAAGCACGTTCTATGAACGTTTTTTAGAACATTCTTTAACGTTGGCAATATTTGTTGAACATTTTGTGTTTGCTGGGTGAGATTAAGATTGTTGTTAATTGAAAATTGAGGTTATTGTTTGTTGGATGCACTGGAATACGGATTATATTTGGAAATAAAGCTGGTTGATTGAATGATAAAGTATTAATAATTTTTGTAGTAATGATGATAACTGATCTAAAGTTTTATTTCTTTTACAACCTTGTTTCAGTTCAGAAAAAAAACTAGACAGACTCAAAAGTTTATTGAAAAACAAACAGCCATAAAAATTATTTTTGCTGAACTTGAAAAAATTTTATAAATATTAACAAAATTAATGCAACAAGCTGACCAATAGCAGAGATTGCTAAGGGTAAGAGAGTTAGTTACAGATTGTTGTATTGCAATTGATTATTAAAATGTCTGATCAAAAGTTATATATATGTAATATATATATATATATATATATATATATATATATATATATATATATATATATATATATATATATATATATATATATATATATATATATATATATATATATATATATATAATTATATATATTTATATATGTATATATATATATATATATATATATATATATATATATATATATATATATATATTATATTTATACATATATAATATTTTAAACTTTTATATATACTCTATAAGTTTCAGAAAATAATCACAAGAGTTAAAGTGTTAGGTAAGCAAAGTAATTTTTATCAAATCATTTATTCAATAGCGAAAGCATGCGAGAGATAACGAAAGCATGCGAGAAGCAAGTGATAGCTCAGTTATTTTTGAGCTGAATATTATTGGATGCACATTTCTTTCGACTCATCGTAGTTCCGTAATTTAAAACCCATCTATTTTATCTTGAGATAAATTTCTACAAAAAATTATATTGTATATTAAATTATACTATATATTATACATATACATAACTAAAAAACTATACTCATTAATATATTTAAAAATATATTTAAATTTTTTCGAACTCATTTCAATAATAAGTTCAAAAATATAAAGAAAAAGGATAACATAAAATAATACCAAGGAAAGAGCGTGCTAGCGAAAAAGAGGTAAAACAGAGGCGTAACCAGGTTTTGATATTTAACACCGTAATATCTTTTCGGACATCCTGTTTTATTACATTAAGGTTTAAATCTAATGTTTTGTTTCTTTTTTCCGAAAGAAAGTACTAAATGGGTTCCTTTTAAACATCGATTATGGTCCTGTTTTTATGCACAAACTTGTAGAAAAATAAATCTAAATGAATAAAAATTCAATGAAATAAAACGCATATATCCTTCAAGATTTTTGAATTACAACCATGAGCAACCTAAAAAGCATTTTTCGGTTGCTCATGGTTGTAATTTTGCTACCATATTATCTATTGCCATCGGAGGTCCTAAATTATGGAGTATTTTATTAAATAAGAACTTAAGGAAAAATTGTTCTTCCTTATTTCTATTTAAATAAAGATTTAAACATTAGGTCCTAAGTAATAGGGATGTACCGAAGCTAAAATTTTGCCGAAGCTTCGGCCGAAGCCGAAGTTTCAGCACTATATATGCTTAAAATTTATTCAGCATTCAAATCAGCAGGGGTGTAAAACAAAAAAGGTTCCAAAACTAAGATCCTTGACTAATAATATAGAAAAAATGTATAAAAATGAGGACACAAGTCAGGGTTGCTGCCCCAGGCAGGGCAAAAGCTCTCAGCGCCCCTGTTTGAAAGTTTCTCATTATGTCGTTTCTGATACTTCACCGCACCTAGTTTTTTTTTTTTTAAACTTAAGCTTTTTTGAAACATTCTCCCCAAATTTTCCTAGTTCTAGTTCTACTTTTTCTGTGTGCAAACCATATTAATGTTATATAGTGCACAATATCAGTAACTCACATATATTTCCAACTATTCTCAATATTTTTCTAAGATCATTGCTATTTTTTTGATCTTTTATAGCCATACTATTCTTCTATGTAAACATCGTTTCTCTTTAATCCTCTATCTAATCATCTAATTTTTAATCCTCTATTTAATCATCTTGTTTGCTCTATCTA